AATATAAGACATTACACTTACCACATACACATATGTATATATAGCGCGCCAGCAAATTCTCTCCGCAGTGTCAGCTTGTGAGAGTGCTTGCAACTGAAATTATGTTAGTAGCTCGAGATGTGGCTTGAAAACGCAAATTGCGTGCTCACCACAATTATAATAGATAATAGATGCTGGAACTTTTGTTCCCTTGTTTCGCAATGATCGAGTTGCCATCATAAATGCTAACATAAATGCAATTTTTAATTGAAGACTGATTCGACTCAATACGGAGAGGCTTTCCTGGGGTTATATTCTTATATATATATATTATTATATATATATATATATATATATATATATATATATATATATATATATATATATATATATAATATATATTAATATGATACTATAAACTTCTGGCCACCAAAGAAACCGTGATAAACAAATGAGTCTGACGATCTGAAGCGCGCGCGTTCCAGTCCAGGCCACGTCCACTTTCCAGGAACGAGGCCAGAGCTCGGCGGGCGGCTGCGGGCTCATCGGGCCTGCAACGCATTGCCTTCCCCCGGCGGCGTCGCGGCGCGCGCGTCGCGAACGCCGCGTCGTCATCACGTCCCAGCGTCCGGCGTCGGACGTCAGCGTCGCCCGTCTGCGGTCGCCCGCGGTCGCTTTACGACACGCGCGGTTTACGGCGCGCACCAGCTGCGCCGCCCGCCACGCCCACGCCCTCGCCCCGGCACCTGGCCCGTTCCGGTCTATTTCGGGCCGTTTACAAGCGCCCCGCGGCGCCCGCCCCCCGCCCTCGCCCGCGACGCCCAAGGCTCGCCTCTCGAGTCAGCGCGCTTCCACACCATTGGCGGATACTTCACTACAGACTATATAAATGAGATCAATAAGAATATCGATAAAATAATTTGTTTTTGACATGAGTAGTATCGGCATCTAAACTAGTGAATATACAATATCAGAGAAAAGAGAGGATCAGAATTAAAGAAAAAAAATTGTTTAATGCGTGTTATTTTGAAGTGCTAAAGAATTGATAAGCATTACGTGGGTATAAGAACTAAGAAGGTGTTAGCAGATTAAAGAAAACCGTAGCCCAATTTTCTCTGGCAAATTAAATACGTTCCACTAAAGAAAACAAAGCTGAAACATGATGCCGCGTCTATAATCTCCTTCATACGAGGGTTATCATCACAAACAGTTTGGCAACTTTTTCCCAGAAAAAATGTGAGGTAAAGGTTTTTGAAACTGATATGTGGTAACGTGTAATACAGTGCATTTTAAACGCTTGATTTGTAAGAAAGGAAAAAAAAGGGAACGAAACTTCAAAGTTTGTTGCGAAGTAGATCACTTCCACAACCCTGTGACATGCAAATCACTTACACATCCGTGTATGCGTAGGAATGGCATTTCCTCCCTCATGGATAAATCAAATGGAAGATGAGGTTCCTTCATGCGACGTTCTTTCGGACACGTGAAGACACTTTCAGTTACGAGGTCACATTATTAGATCAGAAGAGAATCTCGCGAGTGTTCAGCCTTCCACAGAGCGCAGGGGACCGTAATGGTCGCAACTACCGAGCGCTGCCTGTCTGTGTGTTCATGTCTTTGAGAGCAGGTGGTCGTGGGTAGATGATGCCATATGTGCGCATTGCGGTTGAAACGAACGATTGACGTTTCATTGATTGCCTCTCGCTAACCTAACAAAGGCCTATATTTGCTAACAAATTTATTTATACAACGTGGGCATAAACTGTGACCTTAAAATCGAATATTTCTAAATTTATTACCTGGCACGCTATATAATATAAACAAATGATATCATGAGGCCAGCAGAAGTAAGTAAAGAAAATTAAGCTCGTAAGATATTCTTAAGCTTGATATGAATTTCTAATAGGAAATTCAAGCCATGATGATCAGTACAGATTTTAAAACGTAGGGGATAGTAACTAGGTAGGAGTAGAATGCAACAAAAAACCCTATATATGACAATCGTTACAGAAAAAATAAATCTAAAATTTCATTTTGTAAGACTGTGTTAGGTAAAAGAAAAAACAATGTGAATACCTAACCTTTATGTTTTAAAACAAGGTAAGTCAGTAGTAAAAAGTAAGTAATAAAAGTGTAGTACTTAAATCAATTTTTTCTCATTTATGACAAAAAAAATCCATTTTATATTTTTTCATTTCATATGTTGAATATGGAGGACATAATTATTACTCATGGACAGAGGCGAAGATTAACACTACATTCATCTTAAAATGCAGTATTTTCTAATTGAAGTAAATTTTATTGTCTATAAATGTCACGCACGGTGCACACTGCTCATTGTATTACTCGTATCTCAACAATCAACCGAACATTCTTTTCATCGCTTTCAAAAAAACCAACACCGACAGAGTCCCGCGTATCTGAATAGCATCAGGGCCGACAGATCCTGCAGTTGCGAGTTTTAGACGAGAAAAAAGTTTGTTCAAAAAAGTTCGAAGCTTTGCCGACTCCCCACAATAAACCCTGGATGAGATATCGTGCCTGAGGACCATTTGTTGCACTCCAATGCGGCAGTGGTAGCAAAAGTGTCGAAAAACGATGAAAGAGATGGAACTATTTCGAATAACAAGCAAGAATATGAAACAAAACTCTGCGCTGGAGGGTTGAAGGAAGGGCCGGGAAGAAAATGAAAACCAACTCAGGGATACAATGATACGAGAGAAATTCGAGCCTGGAGGAAAATAATATGAATAAGCCACACAGATTTGAGAGAGGCGTCAGCCAAACAACCAGACGAATAAGACTTGTATAAGATCTAAAGCGAACTAGTGGTGATAAAACAAACGTACTTTATCTAATTATTTGTAAATTTGCAATTTTCAAAAATTCGGAGAGTTCAACGAAAATGAGACCTCATGTCATTTTTTAAGCTTTGTGATACCAGTGTTAAAATTTGGGGGAAAATTTAGAGCGTTTGTGAGAAAATGCTTTTTCATAATTTGCATTAACTTCAACCAGAAATTACGTGAAAACTATGCATATCTTTAAAAAAATATTTTTTAAAGATCTGATTTTTTCAGTTTCTTACGACAAAAATGCTTATATTCAATTTTGTAGTTTTGCATTGTTAACTATTTTAAAATTTTACCAAAATACAGAGAGTTTGCTCGAATTGGCAGCAACACCCCCATTTTACCGTTCCTTGACACATACGAGAAGAATTTTAAAAAATTAAGCCGTATTTTGACAAAAATAATTGTTTACAAATTGTCCATGTTTCACGTAACATTACGCTAAAACTACTTATATTTTCGGAAAATTGTGCCTGACATTATTTCAAGAAAAGTCTTTAAACAACAGATTGCATTCTGGAAAAAATGTCTATCTTTAACATTGTAGCAGGAAAATGCCGATTAAAATTTTGAACTTTTGCAATCTTCGTTAAAACAATGATTTCAATGAAAATGAGATCGGCATCACTCTTTTAAGTGACCTTTACGCTACCCAAAGATAAAATTTAATAAAAAAATATGTGGAGCCATTTATTAGAAAATTTTGAAAGGGTGTTGAGACTTCATGTAAAATACGCAAAAAATATTTTAAAAAATCCGTTTCAAAGTCACATAGCCTAGAGTTCCTACAAATCGAGTGAAGAAAATTAAATTTGAAGAAAATCGGCTGAATGGTTTAGGCGCCAGCGTTGGCCACAGATCGATGTATGTCATAAACGGACAGACGTTTTGTCGTTAATCCATTTTTTGGTATCAAGGAACCACAAAACATAGATTCTTCCTACACAAGGTATTACAAGAAGTCATTTACTGCATGTAGGAAGAAGATTCATCCACGTTTTAGTTTCAAGTACTAGGCTATAAAAGTGTTTCTATCAAAAATTTGCTTTTTCAGGCGCATGAATACAATATTTTCTCATATTTCAAATTAAAGACGAGAAAATAATATATTCATTTACTTCCTAACAATTATTATAAAAAATATTTTTTTTGCAAACCGATCAATTGAAAGAGTCGTCAAGATTTAATTATCTTTCTTCCCATGTGAAATTTCAATACGCTTTACACTTGTATATTTTCGAGAGTCTCCAACTTCTTAGGAAACCAAATGTGTTCTGTCCGCTGCGTCGTGGAAACGGACGCCACATCGCGCGAGGCGCTGAGTCACGGACGCCGGAGAGCCCTGCGCTGTCAGGAAATCGTTAGTCAGCGGGCTGCATGCCCCAGTCACGCAGCGGCCGCATCGGAAATCTCGGGCTCATTTGTCACCGAACCATCAGCGGCGCCGCTGATTCGCGAAATGCCTCCTGGAGGGCCGGCTCGGCTCGGCTCGGCTCAACTCGACTCGAGGCGCAGTGCATTCTCGTTAGCGCCGCATCAGTCACAGCGATCGCTACCACCCGAACGCCCCCAATAGCCTCTGCCCTCTCCACTGCATCGCCCTTCACGAATCTGAACCCGGGCACCGAGGACACACGCGACCTTTCTGCACTCAGCCCACACGACGAAACTCCATTTCAAAAACTGTTTTGAAAATAATGAATTAGAACTGCAACTCTAGAGATGTTAGAGCTATAATACGAAACGTTAAACGCTTCCACAGCGACTGTTCTTTCTAGGAGTATCCTTTGCATTGACCATTACACGGTGCGTAATGAGGTAATTCATACTATTTAATTGATGTGTCTAAAATTAACAACTATTCCCTGTAAAGTAGATGAAAACACATGCAAGAATAAAATAAATATATAAGGAAGCAAATCACATCCATTTCGAGAAGAACTTCGTCCTTAAGTCATGAAATAAGTGTACTATCTGAAACATTATTTTCATCTCGAAGTGTGCAAAATTAAAGACCTTGATATCTCTTGAAATATTCTTGAGCTAATTCATCATAAAGGACGTTGTGTGAAAGCCCCCATTTCATAGAAATCAGGAAAGTGTACGCGTGTTCCCCGGGGCGAGAGAGACGGCGATTCTCGTGTAAAAGAAGCGAGAGGTGCCACTGACCGTGAGGTTGACGTTGGGCACGGACGGCCCGTGGCACAGCAGCAGGCGCACGATGTCCACGTTGCCCGTCCAGGCGGCCAGGTGCAGCGGCGACGAGCCCTTCTGGTCCACGATGTTGGTGCTGGCTTCGTGCGCCAACAGCAGCTGCACCACTTCCCTGCGCACCAACGCACCCACGTCACACACATACACACACACGTACTACATCCTAGTGAGAATTAATGCTCACAAGCAAATAGTATCTTACGCTCAGTCTAAAAATGATTGGATAAAAAATATATCATTTAGTTCAAAGTTCACTCAAATTTTGCTGTTATATTCCTTGAAGTCTGACAATATGGGAGGGGGGGATTAAACGAAGCAATAAAACTATGTAAAGAAGAATAAAAACTTCAAATTGCATGATTCTAAGAAAGGTTTTTTGTGTATAAATATTTCAGTGAATCGGTCTGTCAAGAAAACACCTGTAGCCAAAGTATCTCCCAATGTAAATACATTGTAACAGACACTTTTATGTTTCATTATGTAAAAAATATAATATGTAACACATTAAATACATCAATGCTTAATAGGATTGAGTTACAAATAAAGGCCCAAGGAGGGAATGCTTTGATGTTATTTTATTATGTTACTCATTTACGTTATTCACCTATCTGGTAAATAAACATATTTGATGTAAAGTGTTGTTCTCAAAAAGATACATTTAAGTAAGTACTTTAAATACAACTCTTAGAATGTAAACACTGAAGAACCCGGATTGCAAACGAAAATTCGTTCAAACCCAAAGTAATTTATTAATTTGGGTTAGTTATTAATTTAACTTTACACGTAAGCTGCCGCTTGGGTAATTAATTATTATCCAAAAAATATATAATGTAAGTCTACAAACCATTCTTCATAATTTGCAACAAAAATATACAACACTGATAACATTTTAGAATATACTTACTTTCGCCCAATCCCACAAGAACGTCTTATCAAGGTGTACAAAAATTAAATAGACGGGATCAAGAAAAAATAAATAAATAACAAATATGCCTATTCAGAAGAATGACACGATGTGTAGAAAGAAATCACTGTGTTTATTTGAAGGTTTGGATGATCTATTGAGATCATTATTACAAAAATACATTTAAATGTCTTAATGCCTAGTCCCTCGTCAAGCAATAAAGAAAGTATTTTCGTAGTGCAGAGTCACTAGCTACACCAGTATCACAATTTATAAAAAAAACATAATAATACACATGACAAGTACGTAAACGTAATTTCCTTGGGATCAGTTTCCTTAATGAATTAATTTTCTGTGGAAGAAAACCACAAATGGGCTCCAATTACTTGCATTGGAAAGAAATCCCATGGTTTTTTACACACAACTCGCAAACATTAATATTTTTTTCTAATAGTGCTACCGTCTTTGCCTGCTCTTCTAGCAGAGGCCTCCAGAGGGAAAGGCCGCTGGGGCTCGTTGCCCAGGCCCCCACTTAAGTGGGCCCCGAAAATGTATACAAAACGTATTTCTATGAACACATTTATTTGAAAACAAATATAAATTTTACTGAATTTGAAATACAAATTAATATATTAATAATTAATGATAATAATAAATAAGGGAATTTTTTTCTTGGAAATAAGGGCCCCGATTGTTGTACTGCCCCAGCCCCTTTGTTTTCTCTGGGAGCCCAAGTTACAAGTATAGAGGTTTGTTTCCCAAAAGTACGCAACCTAGGAGGCTGACTGCAAAAAGCTAAAAAAATTAAGTAGCATGAAGAGTTCATAGTTTCTGACATTTTGCTAAAATACTCGTAAAACGCAAGAACACAATATTCTGCTAGTGTCAATGTAACTAGGAAAGCATGCTGATGAAATAATAGCTGGTCAAACAGATATGGGGTTGTAAGACGTAACTATTTACGGATTAAAACATCTGCCACGGAAACAAAATAAATTATAAATGAAAATTTCAAATTCAGAAATGGGCGTGGATTTCGGGTCTTCGAGCATACAAGTAAAGTTACGCAAACAATATGTAAGGGCGACCTCTTAATAGGAGCAACTGCACATGACCGCTTGAAATGCCCGAGATGCTCAGTCCCACATCGCCCGAGGTCAGCCGCTGCGGGATCTCAACGCAGCATACGCCCGCATGCAAAAGCGCACTCACGGCAGCGCAGCGGCGTCCGAGCGAGCGAGCGGGCGGGCGGGCGG